AAATTAAATAAGACCAAGTAAAATGCAGCGATAGGATAAATGTAGTGATTTACATAGTAGTATTGGAAGTTTTTACAAGATTATTTTAGCGAGTGCAGCGAGAACGAGGAGAAAGTCAACAAATGAGCAGATTTTACCAAAACACAATAGAGTAGAGAACATATGGTATTGTTGGATGGCGCAGGGAGGTTTGCGGTAACAACGATGACAAAACGACCAGTGGGATGTCAGCTACTCAGCTGCTCAATTGCTCTTGGCCAACGTAGGCGAAACGCAATCGTGGCCATGCATTGTGGCATTGGGACGACGAACAAAAATAAACTGAACAAAGCAAAAAAAAAGTGCAAGATTTCATTGTCAGTGTCCGATTAGATAATACCTTCTTAACATATGAACTTATGTATGTACTATTTGTGCCTTAGCTTGAGGTGCTTAAAATCATTTACGTAAGTTAAATTTTTTAATTTTAATAAGCAACAATTTTGAAAAAGCGCGTGGCGTATTACTTAATATTCTTTCTTGTACGCATGCATATATGTATGTATGTACATACGTATGTATGTATGTTGGTACATTGGAGCGGAGGCTGCTGAGAAAAACGAGAGAGTACAATACTCTCTAATTAATATGTTGATTGTTTTGAAAATACACTGACTTTGTTTATATTTTTCAGAGTTACATAATTAAATTATTTGCACATGTAAAATAATACGATTTTTTAGCAAGTTTTTATTGTTGAATTATTGCTCGTTTGTTCTGGATAATATTCTTATAATTGTGCAAAAATAGTTCATACTTGCAATCCATAAACCTGTTACATTATTAATTATAGCTGATTCATGCTTAAAAACTACACAACTTACATACATACATATCGTTACCTTAATATAGAAAGGAAGGCCCTATGACATAACGTCGCTGAAATACAAAAAGCTGTAACTAACTAAAAATCCAAAACTCACTGTTTGTTTGATTACACAAGGCAACAAAAATGGGAAAAACTTTTGTTTTCATCAGCTCCAGATTTTGAGTAAAAAATCGCGTTTTTTTGCAATATATTAGAAGCTCTAGCAAAGAAACAAAAGGTGATATTAGGCTTAAATTAAAGCTAGAAGTTTGACTACTACCCCTGAAAATAATATCCCTGAACCGGATTTTGTGCGAAGCTTGAGTACCCTCCGCAATTAAACAAAACGCGATTAGCCTTCTTTCACTTAGGCTTAAATTAAGGCTTGAACTTTCGACTACAATCTATTAAAATACTATCCCTGAACCTCAACCCTAAGGTCACTACTAGTTTTTATTTAACACCAAAAACTGATTTTGGCAAAATTAATTTTCTTTTTCAATAGCACATTTTTATATTGTTCAATAAATGACTGTTAGTGACTATCAGCTCAAGGTGCAGGGATAGTGTTTTCAGGGATAGTAGCTGAGAGTTATAGCTTTAATTTAGGCCTAAGTGGACCTTCTATCACCTTTATTTTGCTAGTCCTTCTAAAATATTGCAAAAAAATCGATTTTTTTACAATTTGACCTCGTTTTTCTCAAAATATAGAGCTGATGGAAACTTTATGCTTACGGATTCGTAATCACCACAGAAAAGTCTATCAAAAACAGTTAATCATTTGCCGTAACAAAAACACTGTTGCCTTTTGTTATGATGCATTTCATCAAACTATAAGTTCCTCCCCCTCCCCCCCCCCCTCGTTTTATGCAATAAACAATTTTAGTACATTTTACACATGAACAAACCAATGTTTATGTGTTTCTATTAGCAATGCCGCTAGAAGTTGTCAATTCAATTTCAAGCGAGTCAACTAAAATCTTATTGACTTCTAAGCGTATCAATTTAATTACAGCTATTAAACCGTCTATACCGTCCATCAAAGCGCAGATGAGACTAATAATTGTCAGAGCGTAAATTTTATTTGTTTCTTAATTATTCCATCTACCAAGCGATAATAAAAAAAATTTTACGTTTTTTTTTTAAATGATGTTATAAAAATATTCAATGCTAATCAGCACAAGTTAATGTGAAAATTATATAAAATTCGCCATGTTTCGTCTAAGGCATAAGCACGTGCGTGTTATTACCAAAAATTCCTATACATTGTGCCTCTGAAATAAGATTTATGTATTACTACAAGAACAAATTTCACGCAACTAACACTCGCCGTCGCTAGATGTTAATCTATTGCAAATACTGTCTAAAATGGCTGACGTAGTGTGCTATCACTACACCATTTAACAAGTCATTACTTAAGGTCAAGAAGCAGCATTTGGCAGCGTGCCAGTTCTCAGACTTTCGCTATCAGCAGTAAATTTTCCAATTGTCGTTATCAATTTACGCGCTATTCTTTCTCCAGTCACTGACTAATTCTCTTATATGAAATAAAATAAAATAACATTTTACTTACCACATTTGGAGGTAGCTTGTGTCCTGGCAAATATTTAACATTTTCATGGGTAGTATTTATTATTTCCGTTAATTTTTTCCCATCTATTTGTTCCTCATAGACATACATATTCACACACGGTTCGAATTGCGGAAGATTCGCGCAATTAGCACCCACAATCTTAGCTATTGCCGAACCCCTATGTGTTACAAAGGAAATATAAAATAATAGTTATGTAATAATCTATAATTCTTGGTTAATGTTCACTTGTACACACTGTGTGGGAGTTGCTTTCATAAGTTCGTCATAATAGCGTGCATTTCATTCAAGCGCGCCAGTAGCTCCGCGTTGGTTATGTACCTGAGTTACAAGTACATATATATGTAAATATACATATACTAAATGCGATTCTGGAACACTTGTGTAACAACCCACATCCAGCAGTACATTCTTACTAAATGCAATACCAAGTTATTAACTTACCAGTTTCCTGAGCCCACAATGCAAACGCTGGTTTTATCGGCCATATTGTACAATTATTTTGAAGTATAAGAATATTTTAAAGATTATTTAATTGCGTTTACTTCCGTTAGACGCGTGCGTACTATAATTTATGTATGGAGAGCAGTTATCAAATTGCTGGGATTGCAAATGAAAGTGGCACGTTTAACGCGAGCGAAGTGGCGACGACGACTGATTTTATGGGGCGACCGCTAACACGTTTCAAGCTCTCAGGTGGCGACTCTTTTCTTCGGGTCTTGTGTATTTTATCTAGGCGTACCGCTGCCTTCACTCAGTCGTGTTCATCAGAAGAAATCACAAAAGCGATCAGCGACGCGACTCGTGTTTCGAGAGTGGTTATGGTAAATGTTTTTGAACGCTCACGCTTGGAGCTACTGGCGTTTTGAAGTGTTTCGACGATTTTGGCGAAGTCAACGCGAACAATTTGTAAACACGGGTCCCCGCACACTTCCGTCAGTACTCGCTAACTTATCAGTATCTGTTATCAGGCAGTTTTCTGAAATTAAAAAGTAGTTAAAAAACCTAGGAACACAAATAGCAATATGGAAAAATTATCATCTTGGCATGCGCGGAAAGGCGACTTACGAGCAAAGAATGTTGGTAAAATGTTTACTATAGAATTTCAAGTCAATTATCTGAGCGTCATACACTTACCTGTTTTAGTAGCACGTAATTTAAAGGCTAGGTTATATATTAAATATTCAATTTGTAATTTTATTTATTTCTATCGAAAAAATGTGCAGCGACAAAGTGATTTTTTTCTACAAGATTTGACGTTTGTATTCTATTGCCATTTGCTTATTTTCTTCTCAATAATCGCTGTTTGTTTTCATTTTACATACTTGTATTCAGTGTTTCCTCCTTTCCAGACCCAATGAACCAAAAATCCAAAAAAAAAATCCAAAAAAAAAAAACCAGAATCTGAAAAAAAGTCTTTGGTTCATGACCAGACCCGTAGATATCAAAAGCAAAAGGTTTCTAAATGCCCAATATTTTATCGGAAGTTTCGTTTTCACTAAATTTTTAGGTCAAGTATAAGTTTTGCCAAAATATTTTTAATAATACCCCTTTCCGTCGGTTTGGTAAGGTGCTAGCTGCAATACCATGGTATTTGGTAATTTTATCAACTCTGAACGCTGTATCTTGCAAACTACGTTTATCAAGAGATAAAGCTCGGTCCATCCCCTTTCGTTTAATGGGGTGTGGAGGCCACGTTTTCTCCCCCTGTGCTTGCCGTCCTACATTCGTTGTTCGATTAACCAAGCAATGCCCGATAAATTTATCATTTTATCAAGTTTATCAGCAGTTTATCTCTTTAGATGAAATCCCTATTTAGAAAAACTTAGAGACTAGGGAAGTTTCTTTTTCATTAATTTTGAAGTCAAGTATGAGTTTTGAGAAACTATTTTTAATAATACCCATTTAGTAAGCTTCTAGCTGGTGTTCGTTAATTTTATCAACTGTGAATGCCGAAAACACTTACTTTTGTTATACCAGGTCTACATATAAATAGTATATCCTCATTTTCGAGCTTAACTCCCTAATCTGTGATTACAAAAGAGATTAGCCATCCAAAATTTGTCGCTCGCTAATCTGTAATTTTAAAATAGTATCAAATTAAACCGATAACTTTTCGAGGTCCAACCAAGTTTTATCGATTACTTTTGCGAAGAAGAGGAGAAATGCCAAATATAAAAGTAAACAAAAATTGACGCTTTCAAGGAAACGTGGTTTGGATAGGTATTTTTTAATAAAATATTAAGTTTCCATAAAGCTCGGGCCATCCTCTTTCGTTTAAGGGGGTTTGAAGGCCAGGTCACCCCACCTGCGCCAGCCATCCTAAATTCGTTGTACGATTAACTAAACATATCCCCTTAAATTTATAATTTTATCAAGTTTGTCAGTAGTTTGTCACTTTAGATGAAGACCCCTATTTGGAAAAACGTCAAGACCACATATTTTTATGTTTTTAACAAGTATGCACATGTGGCATCTCATTGGACATGCAAAATGCAAATTGACTCTTCTGACAGTTTCTTTTATCCTCCTCTTCGACTTTATTTACTTTTACTTGAGAAATATCATCGCCGCACGCCAAGTAATGTTCGGGGTATAATTTCGATCCGCGTGCGAGTCTTTATCGGGAGCGGATGCGAATAATTATTTCAAAATATTTTCATCTATTTCACTTTTAAAAGGGATATTTTGTGAAATCTGTATTGCTACTAATGATCGACCAAACTGGTGGCGATATGGCGTGGGATAGTGACCCCAAGGCTTGGTCCAAACCCATTAAGCCGCTGGAGGAGAAGTGGAAGTTGGTGCCGGCGTTTTTACAAGTAAAAGGACTGGTGAAGCAGCATATCGACTCATTCAATCACTTTGTCAATGTAGATATTAAAAAGATTGTGGAGGCCAATCAATCGGTTATTAGTGATGCTGATCCACTTTTCTACCTTAAATACTTAGACGTACGCGTTGGCACTCCTGACATTGAAGATGGCTACAATATTACAAAAGCCACTACGCCACATGAATGTCGATTACGCGACACCACTTATTCGGCTCCCATTACAGTCGATATCGAATATACCCGTGGAGCACAGCGTATTATACGAAATAACCTTTTAATTGGGCGAATGCCGGTAATGTTACGTTCTTCTAATTGTGTTCTATCTGGAAAATCTGAGTTTGAATTGGCTAAGATGAATGAATGTCCTTTGGATCCGGGCGGTTATTTCGTTGTACGTGGCCAAGAAAAAGTGATTCTTATACAGGAACAATTGTCGTGGAACAAAATGATAACTGAAGAATTTAATAGCACTGTACAATGCCAAGTAACTTCCTCCACCCACGAAAAGAAATCTAGAACGTTGGTATTAAGTAAGCACGGAAAGTACTACCTTAAGCACAATTCCATGACTGATGACATACCCATAGCTATCATATTTAAGGCCATGGGTGTAAACTCCGACCAAGAAATAATGTCGTTAATAGGAACTGATACTGAGACACAAAATCGTTTCGCTCCTTCGCTCTTGGAGGCTTTTCAACTGAAAGTATTTACACAGCAGCGCGCGCTTGAATTTATGGGTATATAACAGCCATCCTTAGTGCATTAGCATTTATTAGAGTCTTTTATTAAAAAATAAATTTTTTGCTTCTAGGTTCTAAGCTTGTGGTCAAGCGTTTCCAAAGCGCAGCTACAAAAACCCCTGCGGAAGAAGCGCGAGAACTACTTACAACCACTATTCTTGCCCATGTTCCCGTTGAGAACTTCAACTTCCAAATTAAGTCGATTTATGTTTCGCTGATGGTTCGACGCGTTATGGCCGCAGAACTTGATCCGACTGCTTTTGATGATCGCGATTACTACGGAAATAAGCGGCTGGAGTTGGCTGGTTCGCTCATTTCTCTGATGTTCGAAGATCTTTTCAAACGCATGAATTGGGAATTGAAAATGATTGCAGATAAGAACATTCCCAAAGTAAAGGCAGCTCAATTCGACGTGGTGAAACATATGCGCGCAGCCCAAATAACAGTTGGCTTGGAATCAGCTATTTCATCTGGAAATTGGACAATTAAACGTTTCAAAATGGAACGTGCTGGTGTAACGCAAGTTCTTTCACGATTGAGCTACATTTCTGCATTGGGTATGATGACCCGCGTAAATTCGCAATTCGAAAAAACGCGAAAAGTTTCTGGTCCACGTTCCTTACAACCTAGCCAGTGGGGCATGCTTTGTCCCTCTGATACGCCTGAGGGTGAAGCATGTGGTCTCGTTAAGAATTTGGCTTTAATGACACACATTACGACGGAAGTGGATGAAGGACCAGTCATACGTTTAGCTTTTAATGCTGGCGTAGAAGATATACGATTGATTGGTGGCGATGTAATTAATAATTCTAAAGTTTTCCTGGTATTTATAAATGGTGAGTAAATAAAGAATGGTTGTAGTCGATTATAGAATTAAAAAAAAAAAAATTATATGGTTTTAGGTAACATTCTTGGCCTTACAATAAGCTATAAACGGCTCGTGCATGTCTTTCGTATGATGCGCCGCAAAGGCCGACTAGGTCCATTCGTTTCCATACATACTTCTCACACGCAGCGTTGTGTATACATACATACCGATGGCGGTCGCCTCTGTCGGCCATACATTATAGTCACAAATGGCAAGCTCGCCGTGGAGCAGCGCCACATAGAAGAACTTAAGCGGGGAATACGGAAATTTGAAGACTTTTTGCATGACGGCTTGGTAGAATATCTCGATGTAAACGAAGAAAACGACTCATTTATAGCCTGGAATGAGGCTGATATCATGGCGGACACAACCACACACTTGGAAATAGAACCGTTCACATTATTAGGCGTATGCGCTGGACTTGTGCCTTATCCACATCACAATCAAAGTCCACGTAACACTTATCAATGTGCTATGGGCAAACAAGCTATGGGAGTTATAGGCTATAATCAGAAAAATCGAATCGATACACTTATGTATAATTTAGTATATCCACAGGCACCTATGGTTAAATCAAAAACCATAGAGCTCACAGGATTTGACAAATTGCCTGCAGGCCAAAATGCAACTGTTGCTGTAATGAGTTACTCTGGTTATGATATTGAAGATGCGCTTATTTTAAATAAAGCCTCTATCGATCGCGGCTATGGACGCTGTTTGATTTATAAAAATTCAAAATGTACTGTCAAACGGTACGCAAATCAGACATATGATCGTATAATGGGTCCCGTAAAGGATGCACTCACCAATAAAGTGATATTCAAACACGATGCGCTAGACACCGACGGAATCGTGGCACCTGGAGAAATGGTTATAAATAAACAAATTTTGATAAACAAGGAAATGCCTGCAGTGACTTCTATAAATCCAATTGAACAAACTGGACAAAGTTCACAAGTAAATATATACATTTTTTGATGAAACTACTAGTGTATGTACATATACACCCCAATGTCTAATTTATTCTATTAAAATACAGATCCCCTACACTGCTGTACCTATTTCGTACAAAGGTCCTGAACCGAGTTATATCGAAAAAGTTATGGTATCGGCGAATGGCGAAGAAGACTTCCTGATTAAAATACTTTTACGTCAAACGCGGCGTCCAGAAATTGGCGACAAGTTTAGTTCTCGTCACGGTCAGAAAGGAGTCACGGGCCTAATTGTTGAACAAGAAGATTTACCTTTTAATGACTATGGTATATGCCCTGATATGGTTATGAACCCACATGGTTTTCCCAGTCGTATGACAGTCGGTAAATCGCTTGAATTGCTTGGAGGCAAAGCCGGTTTGTTAGAGGGCAAATTTCATTATGGCACCGCATTTGGTGGGTCGAAATGCAAGGACATACAAGATGAACTATTCAAACATGGCTTTAATTACATGGGCAAAGACTACTTCTACTCTGGCATTACGGGTGAATCACTAGAGGCATACATATACTCTGGCCCTGTTTATTATCAAAAGCTGAAGCACATGGTGCAAGACAAAATGCATGCGCGTGCACGTGGTCCAAAAGCCGTGCTAACTCGTCAGCCAACGCAGGGCCGCAGTCGAGAAGGTGGCTTGCGTTTGGGCGAAATGGAGCGGGATTGTTTGATTTCGTATGGTGCCAGTATGTTGATTATGGAACGTTTGATGATTTCGTCTGATGCTTTTGATGTGGATGTCTGTAAGACATGCGGTCGCTTGGCGTATTGCTCGTGGTGTCACTACTGTCAGTCTTCAGCTAATGTATCGAAAATTTCGATGCCTTACGCATGCAAATTGCTCTTCCAAGAACTGACCAGCATGAATGTGGTGCCAAAATTGAAGCTACAGAATTATTAATATTTTCCGTGTCTAGTTTTTTGTTTTTCTTTTTTTGTATTAAAATATTTTATTATAAGAGAATGTATTGCGTTTAGAATGATTAAAATAAATTAAAAGAAAATGGATTCTAATAAAAATTTAGAATATAATTTACAGCTACAGAGATTGATTAGATCAGGGATGGGCAGATTTTTGGCTCTTAAAGCAGTCAAAGAGCCAGCAAGTGCTACGCAAGAGGTAAAGCAGTTCTCAGGGTGAAGAGGGTGTTAACAATACATTAAAATCATCATACATCCCCAATTTCATGATCTTCATCGCACAGCAGCTGCGGAAATACTAAAAGCCTGATTATGCCAACTTACCTTAACTTAACGAAACGTAGAACTTAGAGAATCAAAATTAAACAGATTTCGACGTGGCATTATGTTACGTTAAGTTTCGGCTGTTCAATTATAAGCAACACCCATTTAACAGAATTTTTAAGAGAGAGCCCTAAGTCACGTTAGGTTGCTATAATCAGATCAGATGGATCAGATTTGGTCCATTTTTTTCGTTGTCGTAATTTTTCCCATTTAATTGATGAATTTCGGCAACACCTGCAAAAAGTTTGAATAAGCCACATCCCATACGGAGTCTAATTTATTCAAAATTTATGTTCATAATAATTCTTTATCAAAAAACACGTTTATGATAAAATTTTGGAAAATGGGCGTGGCACCGCACACTTATGGCCAGGTGTGTATATCTCCGTAACCGTTTTATCAATTTGTACCAAACTTGGTACGGTTATTTCGCTTACCACATAAAAGCAAAACGTTGAAAATTATTGAAATCGGACTAAAATTACCCCCTTTTTTCATATAACGGTAAATTTCAGAAATTCTTGAAACATCGATATTTCGAAATTTAAGGACGCTAATTTACTCAAAATTTATACTAACAACAATCCCTTGAAAATAAGTAACATTATAGAATTTTGGAAAGTGGGCGTGATCTAACTATATAAGTTTATCTCATTAAGTATAACTGAACACACTATCAAAATTGTTAGAAATACCAATTTTACCATGTAACGGCAGTTTTCAGAAAGGTGAAAAACTATTTTTAATACTTGCGTCGGGCATTTAATGTTCGGGCCCACCCGAACTTACACTTTTTTACTTGTCCCTTGCACGGTGCAAAATGTGTTTTATGTTACACTTAACCCTTTGAAAATGCATGTTTTACCTTCTTGTCCTTGTCCAGATCCATCTGATTTTCAGAGCAATCATCTCCCCTGACAAAGCTTCAAAGGGCAGAAAACGTGCCATATTTGCCTTACAAGAGTGTGACATTTTAAGAAACGAACACACAATTTTCGCACCCTTTGCCTTTAATTTAGAATCGAACAAGAAAAGAGAAAAGGGCAATCAAAAGGCGACATTTTTTAGTAGAAACGAAATCACAATTAGTTTCATACAGAACTCGTGAAAATGCAAGAAATACCAAAAATTTTTAATCAACATTTTAAATATTTCAACTTGATTTTTTAGAAAAATTTTGAGTATGCAATTTTGTAGCTCATTAATGTTTAATATAACAAAGTGCAAGCTTCAAGTCGATAAAAATTACCATTGATGGCAAAAATGTTTCTGCTTACAAAACCAGTATATATTTTAAAAAGCAATCAAATCGGCATACAAATAAGTTAGATATAGGATTTTTAATTTTTTTTTTACGCAAAAGACTTATTCCCATGACTTATTTACCTTTAATGCAATATTATATTCCCACAATATTTTAACAATCATCTAGCCATTGGTGTAGTTTAAGGTAATCTCTTAACAGTTTAATATAAAAGATTTTAAGGGAAACATATTTTTAAATCAAAGTTGAACCTTCTAAAGTCATTTTAAATTGTTTAAATTCTGTAGTTACTTGTACCTGTCACTAAAATTGAACGGGCTATATAAAACTACGTATATAAAACGTTCGGAAATGCATCATCAACACAAATTTTTTGAATAGCGGAGTAGAAAAAATATTAATCATAGTGTGCGCCCTGTGAATGAGTTCGTTGCTTTATTTAACTTTTAAATTTTAAACATACAAACCAATTGATAATAATAAAAAAATAGTAAACCCAACAATAAAATAATTCAAAGTTAACTCATTGAACTAAAATTTATAACCAAAACTTTATTTTTTCAATATAGAGTATTTGTTTTCATACCAGTGGATAAGTTCGTCTTTAAAGTCTATTTCCATATTTCTATCGGTGCCCTCGTCCAAATCCCAACTGAATACAAATAAGCCTATTTGATCACGAAATATATTTGGTCTACTAAACTGAAGATGTCTCCTTGCAATGCAGGACGTCGCGTAACAGCAGTGGTATACACTCCAGAGGTTTGTTATCGATTTTGCCATCTTAACACATCCCCGAAACTATTTACTAAATATTGAAATTTGATGAATTTCCGTTCTTTTAATCAACTCGTATCCCAACGGTTTGTTGCATCCAAATGCATTTCAATGACAGCTGATAAGGCCTTATCTAATAAAGCTTGAGCAGCTGTTTACTATTATCGCTTAATTTCTCTAAATGTATTTAACTAAATATTGACTCTTTAGCCATGATGCTATCATCATATTAGGGAGATGCACTTTTTATTACAAATCAAATATTATTATAAAGTAAAGTTTGCTTGCTTTTGCAGTTTTAATTGGAAATGGAATTACAGTTACATGGGATGGGATATTATATTCAGAATCGATTTGGGACCAAATGCACTTCCGGAAGTACAGGGTGTTTAATTGCCTTGCCCTGTACTACCGGTGGTGCATCTGTTATAATTACGGTGACCATATTTATGAGAGCCGATACCGGACAAAAATAATTTTGCAATTTTTTTCCACAACAACCCACAGATCTTAAAGCCTTCTTCAATGATCCTAGATGTATTAGCCCTGAAACAGTATCCTTTTAGGAACATCACAAATTTGTAGAGTAATTCTCGCGAGATTTTTACCAAGTAAAATTTGTTAAAAAATTCATTAAATTTTATTATAATAAAGTGCAATTTTAAGTCGCTAAGGCTTACCACTAATTTTTGGCATTTTTTTTTTACGGTGTTACGCTTTTTTCTACAAAGTAAGTATGTTCCATCATTTTTTTTTTTTGAAAGAGATACAAATGAGCAGCACTTTCCACTCGCACTTTATTATACTCAATTTTAATAAGTTGCAAAACTGCAAACCATATTTTTTCTAAAGATTGTAATTAAAAAATTAGAAATTTTGGTGAAACATTACAGAATTAATTTTTATAGTTTTTGCACAAAGTTGGAAATTTGGTGTTATATGGTTTTTGTTAGAAAAATAGCTTTAATTTCATAAAATAAATAATAAACATTCAATAAACGAAGGAGGAATAGCCAAAACTTATTAAAATTTCGAGTCCTAATTCCTATTTTGGTCACTGTATGTATTCCTCGATTCGAATCACAGGTATTCAGATTAGAAAATAATAACTGTTTATGGAGAAAATTATGATCATATGCCAACATCACTTAAAACTCGTTCATAGGCATGCCATTTTAATGAGCTGTTAGGGCGTCGAAACATCGAATACGGGACAAATAAAGACATTAAAAGAAATACAGGACATTTGGCGTCCCGTATGAAATAAATAAATTACCAGGACAATGGGCAAAAAAAAGAGGACTGTCTCGTATTAGACACGACGGATGGTCACCATAGCTATAATTCTTTATATACTTTACGGTTGGCAATGCCATTTCACTTCACTTCGTCTCCTTCATTTCGTTCCATTACTGTATAACAAATTCGCAAAGTATTCGCACAGTTGTCAACTTTACCGTACGCCTAAAAACAAACCACTAAATGTGTCAAACAGAGAATGCAATTTTTTGCTTTCTCTTCTCGTTTCGTGCGCGTTTCGTGTGTGTTGTACTTTTCCTCATCGTCGTAGTTGTCGTCGTTGTTGAAATTAATAATCTATTGTTTTAACTTCTATTTTAACGAAAATTAATATCAAAACAACGAATTTTTTTCTTCCTTGTAATTTGCCGACAACATAAAAGCGTTTAATTTGTGGAAATGTGGCCCAAACGAATAGCGAACAACGAATTTTTCGCCGTGTGTCGGTTATGAGTCGCGGAACAAACGAACAAATCGACAAATCAAAAAAATTATCGAGATAACTTTTAGGCGTATAAAAACGCGAACGGTAATCCTCAAGTTGCTAACGTACGGTGTGCTCCTTTGCATTGTTTAATTAACTAAATTTTAATAAGTGTGAAAATTAGAGAAGCACACGAATTTGTTGTGTTTTTCTTTTAATTTTCTCTACTTGTAAATGTTACCCACACAAACACTTTCAAGCACACGAATTCGAACACACACATGCCCAAACGAATAAACAAACACGCCCGCTTTGGAACGCTGCAACTGAACAAACAAATTTCAACGCTTACTCGAAAGGATTTATTTATGTAGGTGGTTGGCGCAAGTTAGGGTGAAAAGTGCATAGGCACCTCACCTACCGTTTCTTCTTCAGTCACCTTCAACTCCAGCTTCGGTGCCACCAACCTCAAGGGTACGCGTGGAACTACATACTTTGCTTTGCTTGTAGTTGTAAGAGGTGTTCTCATGCGATTGTGGGTGTGTGTGTGTGTGCACTTTAAGTGTGACATTTAGTTGCATCTATTCATTAGGAAAAGCCACGCGTTTGCGTGTAATTAATAAGGTTTATTAAACGACCGCCCCTCCATCACAACCATGTCATCATACATATCGTCGTTTAATGTACAAAACCGCGTATCAACAAAATGCAAAACCGCGTTTGTGAGGTTGCATAGATTATTTTCTTGAGAGTAAAAACGCTCATATTTCAAAATGGTTCTGGTTTTAATAAAGCAATCGCATTTCTGGATAGTATATTTCAGAACGAATAGATAAGGATTGGGCCAAGAGCTTGTGTGAGCAAATCCAATTTTTGCCAGCAAATGTCAGTTATGCGGTTTTGTACTTTAAATGACGATATCTATGTATTTACATTAGTGTGCTCTTCTCCAGCGCCAACCAACACCCCACTCACTCAGCAAATATACACAAAAAATAAACACTTGTACACACTCGCAAATCTTTCATGTATGTATGTGTGTATGTGGGAAACTGTGTGTGTGTTAGGAGCCAACCTTAACCCACGACGATTAATGCCACTTTCAGTTCAAGTGTGTAGGTATAAAGAGAGGGAGTTGGCATAGTACACCCACATGACTACAACAACAATAGCAATCACATAAGTTATCTACCGCAAAAGCAAGGTGGTAGAAAGCAAACTAACGACAACATCGATTCAACAGACATCTAGTCGGTATTCAGTGCATTGAAAAGGGAGAAAATCGGGAGAATGTGTGGAAGGAAAAGGAAGATGAAATGAAGTAATGTTTACTATTTACGGTAAAATGGGGTTGACAGAGAGAAAATATTTTGGAGTTATTAGGCCTCTTCATAGCAGTCATTAAAATCGGAGCGACCTAATTAAAGGACAGAAATTTATTTAAATCATTTCCGGGAGGTATTTTTTTTTTAATGTCATAAGGTAAATTTACGAACGTGGTATGCGAAAAAATCTTTTTTTTTAATTACATAATTTATTTTTTTTAATTTATTAAAAATATGAATAGAGTTTTTTTTTTAATCAAGAATCTCTTTAAACCAAGTCTCAGTTTGGAAGAGAGTTAGTTAGCCGGATTACAACGCGACGTACTTAAATGCTTCCTAACTTTGTCAATTGTGCACTACGTGGGAGAGACTAGCTCTATTTAACGGAATCCGTTCTTGTACTCTTTCAGTAAAAATTACCCACAACCAGTACTCGAAAGCATTGGCTCTCAGAGAGAAAACTATTTTAAAAGGGTAAAGAGTGCAAAACTTGTAACAATTTTCTAGTTTTAATAACAGCTAATTAACTGGTTGTAAATTAGTTTTCTAACAAAACTACATACCTTTGTGTGACAACATCAAGGCACACGCCACAAATCGGAGGAGAAGCTCGGCCAAACACTAACATTGCATTATTGTTTGCAATTTATCTGGCAGTCTCGAAACAAAAATCCGGTAAAATTAAACCCAAAGAATTCTGATAATCACCGAAAGAATTTTGAGGGGCAGAGAAAAAAATTCCGGAAAGTCTCAAAGAAATCCGAAAAATCACGAGGGGCTTCAATTTTATGCCCAAAAAATAAAACGAAAATATTACCGAATATTTTCTGCCTTAAAAATATGGATAAGATAACGTGGTCGAAATAATTAAGCCGGCATGATGGTTCTTGAAGCCGGTTTCTTGCGACGATTGACTTCTAAATTTTTTACGGAGCCAGTAATGGTCGTTTCCAATTTTCGATGGCCAGAAATCTCTAAATTAGAAGTGCACAACCTGTTGCTCAGTTGGCCCACAACAACATCACCGTGGCGCGCCTTGGGTAATTTACAAAAAAATGCATCATATTTGGAAGCATAACATGCAAAATGATCACAATGAAACCAGTTTGTAGCTCCCTAGCTCTTAGATAATAACTGAATCTTAGTTTAGCCAAAGATTCCAAAGAATCGTGGAGGAATGAGCGTCTACCAGCCCTCGCCAATGCATGGCTAATGCTTTACGCTTTCGATTTTCTCCACATCACGATAGTAATCGTTTGACTACCAGCAGGCAGTGCCCTCCACAAGAGTGAGAACTCCACTTACTCGTCAAGGCACCGGAGTTAAGGGCGAGATATACACCTGTTTACCCAACTTAAGCCACATATGCCTTCCCTCAATCAAGTGGGTTCACCCGTTCTTACATATAGACACTTTCGCATTATTTTGTAACCAGCTTATGAAATGGTGCCAACATTTACCGGTTACAAGAGTGCACAAAATGCGAAAAAGGTTTAAAATTTGACAGGAACTTTATTTACGGGTTACAAAATTTTTGTTACCAGTGCATAATAGACATGTTTATTCATGTAAGTACTGCCACAACGGAAATGCAATCCAATAGTAATGTATGTAGGAAAGTACGTGCGTACTTTTGGCATCTGTCATACGGGGTGGCGTAGTTAAAGTATCAGAAACAGTATTGGCGGTAGGCGAGACGATAATTCTTCGGCTGCTACTGCTTCTATTGGCTCCGATTGCAATTCTCGCGCAGCGAATCCTCCCACACACGCTTTACACATTCGGAACGCACGCATCTGCATATGAGCACACAAGTGCATGTGTACACATACATGCAAACATATAATAAATATGTGTGCGCAGTCATTTACAGCTGCCAACCGGCTGTGTTGGCTTACATATGTAAAGCTTTCACTTTTTGTCCGTTGCATGTTGATGATTTACGTAGAAGTTAAGTGGCGTAGTGAATTAGTGTGACGAACGAGCACAAAGGAAGCGCACGCCAGTTGCACATAATGCGTAAGTGTGAATTGTGAACGGTTAACTGTTAATTGAAATGGCGTAAAGTGAAAGCGACACAATCACTCTGGAATTAAAGAGTAAGCAAAAAATACGAAATACGAGTGCTTACTTTGTGAAATTGTCAAATGCACGCACACGCAGCAGCTGAAGCATATCTGCAGGCGGTGTAGCAATGATACGCACTTGTAGCAAAATCAAAGTACAATTTTTAAATTAAATTCATAATTTTGTTTGTGTTATCAAATTTGTTGAAGATAGATTATACATATATAGAAAATGTGTGTCCAAATATGGCAAGTAAAATAAGATATAATTCGATGTAACGCCTATAAAGCCTAAAAGTATACACAATAAAACAAAAGATTATTTTTAAAAGTTGCAAAGCGAATAAGATTCTTATGTAAAAAAGGCATTCAATATAAAAGCGAAAAAAGCAAGCAAACGAGGGCCATAGCTGCCTTTTTCGCACAAAGGCGCCCAAACTTATTGCAGAGCAATAACGCCTTAACGCCTTCACCACCTTTGACGGCCAGTGATATCCTCAACAACATCGACATAACTGAATTGCAACGAAGTGAACTTATCTTCAGTAAGCTGTCACGATGGCCGATAAAGCGGATAAAGCGGATAAAACTGATAAAGCAGATAAAGGAGATAAAGGAAAGGAAGCCCCCAAAAATACGGAACAAAAGAACCAAGTCACCCGTGCCATGCCCGAACAGAGCAACGACTATCGTGTTGTTGTGTTTGGTGCCGGTGGTGTGGGTAAAAGCTCCCTGGTCTTACGTTTTATTAGGGGAACCTTCCGCGAAACTTACATACCAACGATTGAAGACACCTATCGACAGGTAAGTGCTATTCAATCTTATTTCTAAACGCTGTGAATGTACAAACATATGGACGTAAATACAAATGAATTTGTTAGTTTATAAGTAGCGGGGGAAGTGATCGTAATTATTTTGTGTACATAAATTTGTTGATTTAAATCGCAAAGGATGAATTCGATGCAAAATTTACGAGGAAGAAGGTAGTGTAAAAAAAAACAATGCCCAAATGTGATAAACAGGCATTTATGCTGGAAATTTTTAGACACGTATGTACACAACTATATATGTACATATGTATGTACTCTAGATATTTTTTGCGATTGAAATTTGGTGTAGTGATTTCTAGAATCCCATTGAAACTTTATGTATTTAGCGGCTAGCCAAAACTATGGACCGTAGTTGTAGTTGGACAAAATAAAATAAGGTTTGGATGACTAAAATCCCATTTCACTGAAAACGACACTCTAATGCTGGATTTCCACTAATCATTAATCCTGGACTTGGCATAAAATGGCATAAATTGTAATGACAAAGTTGGGCATTAAAAATATTCGAGTCATTACGTTAAAAAAAAATACGTAGTCATTAAACTCAGTTCCACGTGGTATTTTTTAAATGCCTCTAATTTTTTGTCATTTCAATACCTATTGGAAATTCGGCATAAAGGCGGGCTCCCATTGCATGCGTATACGTATGCGTGCGTTTGACAGAAAAATTGAATATATAAATTTGTATGGCAGCACCGACATAGTAACGTATGAAAAAGTGAGGCAATTGTATGATTTTTGATTTCTAAGCGTAAATGTCAAATGCACGCATACGGATACGCATGCTATGGAGGTCCGCCTTAACTCTGCTATAGTCAAGTTAAAACGATTTTTATCATCTCAAAAATTTATAATTTATAAACAAAAATTGTATATATGTATGTATGTAAATATGTATTTCTAGGCACTTTACTTCATAATATGCAGGCTTAATGTTAAATATATGTACATATTTTATTTCGTTTATACAAATCTACCTTTAACATTTAAGATTTCCATTTCATTTGGAAGAGTTTAACAGTGAAACATCTTCATATCAGCAGCGGCCAAAAATAGTAAATGTAATCTGCTTTCGTTCAAATTTAGGACATGCTCTACTTTCAGTTAGGAAAGAAGAAATATGAAATATGGTCAAGATTGGATGACTGCTACGTCCCCCTACTAGAGCTCTTGTTAGTCGACTAATCCAATAGTCGGTTTTTCGAATAGCAAAAGTTTTTTCAAAAAATAGTCGACTTCTCTTAATCGACTAACCATTTCCTTTCGACTTTTTCAACTAACCGCTCACAAACCACCAGTCGACTAACAGTTCATTTTCGATTTTTCGACTAGTTATTTTCTTTCAAGGTTCTTTCATTGTTTTTTTATTATTTTTTAAATACCTATTCTTATTGACAAAACCCAGACGCGCTAAAAACAATAAATTTATTGTGAAAAACTGTCACTATTCGTATAATTTCGGTTAATCGATTTTCGGACTACTCGATAGTGAGCGGTTAGTCGAAAGTGAAAGTGAAAGTGAGTCGAATTCGAGCGGTTCAAAGTTTTCTGATTTTGCTGAATTTTGGTTTACACATTTTGTTTACCTAGTGAAACATAAATATAAAATATAAAAAAGATTGGCCCACAGCCAAGCCCCCGCCCACCCACACAAAATGTAGCTTCTATTTTTATTATGGTCGGGTTTTGATGAAATATGGTGAAATATGATGACTTTCACATAAAAATGCCTTCGCGTAGTATATAAGTATATACAGTGTTAAATAGATACATATGACTTTTTGAATAGGTGGCCACCCTAATGAAAAATATTTTCAAATTAAAGCTAGGGAATCTTTCGTTTGACACTCATAATATATAATATTTCATATACAAACAGAACTTGTGTGCTACGCTTTCTACTATGGTTTTCGAAATTTTTTTGCGAAAAAAGAGCACAAGGCAACCCATGTTTGCAACAGAAATACATGCCCGTTCCCTTATTTCTTGAGGAAAGAGTGGAGTAACAGGCTGTGAAATACCAGATATCAAAATTCCTTAGTCACACACACGAAATAATGCCAATTTTTTCCTATACATGAACTACGCATGATTGTGTTAGTGCATGTGGCGCATGCAAACAAAACGAAATAGAAAACATGTTGTCCATGTGTGCGTGTCAGTCCACCGTCAAGCCGCGATTTTCGCGGACTGAAATGAGCGAGGTAACCTCGAACTCTCTTCACCCTCTTATCCACACAAACCCGGTTTTAGGCGGACTGAGCAGTTCAGTGGGCGGAGGTCCATTGGCTGGAACCAAGCCACCAGCGCCCTACATTTTTGAAGTACTTATCTGCTTGCTTGCATAGGCGGCCCTTTTACAGGTAGCAGGTAGGAACGGTACGTACACACGTTACTCTCATTTGTTTAAGTCGAACTGCTGATTTCTATACTCGCATACGTTTAACTATTAATGTTATTAGGAACATTGAATATTGCCAGAGACATTTTGTTGCCACCTGAGTTCGAAATAATTCACCAGCGGATAAAAAAACAGACTACTAAATTCGAGGAATCGTTTTCTTTTTACCACGTTTTTTGTATTTTAAATACGAGCAGATAATTATGTTACTCATACGCCATGTATCCACGCGTTTGATCAAACTTAATAGTAGTGTTGGGAAGTATCCAGTACTTTTGAGTATCGAGTTCTTTGGTATCGATACTTTTAGGGATCGGGTATTTTTCAGAGTACTGAGTGCATTCTTTAAATACACACTAGTTGGTACCATTTCAATACTTAGGGCCGTTTTCTCAAGTAACCTGTAACTTTAAAGCTCACTTTATATTTAAGGTTTCCACTAAAATGTATGATTGTGTCTAAAGTAAAGCATTTTATTATCGATTTCAAATTGGTTTAAAACTAAGAAGCATAGACACGTAAAAAACCGATGATAGAAATGCTTAACTTTAGACATAGCTTTATTTTTAATCCAACGTTTAAATATAAGGTGAGCTTCGAAGTTAAAGGTTACTTCAGAAAACGTCCCTTAGTGTAAAGATCTCACAAGCTGGCAGTTTTTTTTTTAATTATTATATGAATCCCAAATTACGTCAAATTAATGGCTAACTGTACTGGGCTCGTACCCAGTACTTGTAAATTATTGAAACTACAACTTGAGTACAATCATATCTGAATACCGTTAAATGTAAATAAAACTCAGTACTTTTTAAGTCTATTCGACACTTAATACTGAATACTTTGAATCTATCCTGAGTACATGTATCAAAGCGATTATTGAAACTGAACTTGCTGTATAAAAGCAACATACATAGATATATAATGTATATACATACATACATATGTACGTATGTATGTATATATATATCTTGACAGATACATGAAATAGAAGGAAATGTCATATGATTGTAGCATCACGCAATCAAAACACGGAAATATGAATGTATGTACATATATGTACATTTGTGTATATTTTTGGCGTAACACTTGCAAATTCGCAAGCCTTTTTTATGTAGGTATACACAGACCCATACTTACTTTAGTTGGAAAGCTACTTGTTGCTTACACGGACGTACATATAAACCAGTGTTGGCACTAATCGATTCATTTTTTAATCAATTAGTTAATTCGATTGAATTCAATCCGATTAAAGTTAATCATGATTAATTTTAATCTGATTAAACAGCTAATCGTAACCGCGATTAAAAAAATTAATTTTTAATCATTAACTTTTAATTTGATTAAGTAGGTTTGGTGATTAATTAATTTACGCTGGAATTTTCCTCTGCACACAAGGCCAGTTAATCGGGTATGGCTAAGTCGGTTTTCCTCATGAGTCTAAGCAATTTAGTGTGCATTTTCATTAAAATCTATTCCAACAGACGTTATGTAAACTAGGTTTTAATATCCCTCTGCACATGTGCGATTGGTTGTAAAAATTCCCTGTTTATGTATTACTAATAAAAATAATTATTTTTTTTTTATATATAATTTGTTTTTATAAGCGTGAAACACAAAAGAATAACAATAACTCTTATTTGATCTCAAATGCGGACAAACTAGAGCACTTAATCAGATTTTATTATTAATTGAATTAACGATTAATGATTAAAATTAATTAATCGTAATCACAACCGACGATTAACGATTAAGAAAATTTTATCATTAATCGTACAGATGATTACAATTAATTCATTTTAATCGTTAATCGCGATTAATATTTTAATCGTTAATTTTTAATCCGTAATCACGCCAATCAATCAATGTGCAAGTACTTATAGAAGTGATGTCAACAAAAGTTATTGGTGCGAAGGCAATATGTGGTTATCAAAATTAAAAGCGATTTCTTTAAGCTCAGAAAGATATGCATACATACATACATACACCGTCCCGATATAATCAAAAAGTAAGTGCGCCTGGGCCACACTGGAAAAGTGAAACTTACGTTACATATCTAGTTTGTCTCATAATCAACATACATATCTATGTATGTATTTCATTAGCTTGACATTTTGAATACAACGACAGGCAATTTAATATAATGTTATTTTATATTTGTCTAACTTCATCCCTACCTCTACCCTTTTTGCTATAATTACATTTATTTAAAGCTGCTTTTGCAAAAGTTTCCTTTTAGTTAAAGTGTTATTTAAATGTACTTTAAACAAGAAGTGTTTTCATAAATAATACAATGGCAACAAAGGTTCATTTAAATGAAAATAACAATGTTGTCAATGTTGATCTCGACAAAACTGCATCAGCTAATTGTCATAAATATGTAATTATACTACGAAAATGACCTACTTTTTTTTACAAAAGGGACCTTTATGTCATTTAAATTTCCATTTTGGCTATTTAACTAAAGAGCCTTTATGAGCACTTTTATCTTTAGAGTGGCTTTATTAAATCGATCAGCAAAATAAGGCATCCTTTAAATTTAAAAATATTCTTTAATTTTATTATGAAATCAAAGC